GTTATCAAACTCACATGTTTTCTGAATGTGATACACTTTGCTGAGGTTTGTGAAGAAAACTGGGTTTCCTCTTCTTCCTCTGCACCGATAGATGCCTTCGTCTGAGACACTAATGAAGTTCTGCAAAGTGTTTGTATTAATTGCTACTTCACGAGAATCTGGTACTTGTCTGAACCAATCATATGTCCAGCCAGCAGAGCCCTGAACAGAGCAGGTCAGTGTCACCGAGCCCCCCACTGGAATAGTTGTCCTGTCTGCTGTTATAGTCGCTGTGGGTCTGAGTGCTGTTTGATTTAAAATACATTGTTTTTGTTATTTATGCTTTTTTTTTTCTGGGAAAAACTCAACGTTAACAATTTCTCATAATATGTAGAATAAAAGGCTGAAGTAATTCCTCAAGGCAGCATCTCATGTGACCAGTTCTTCTCACTTCTCTCATACATCATACTATATATAACATACACTATGCTGTAATGCACCAAAGTTCACACTGCTTCCTAATTTGGTGTCATCTTCACCAGTTTTCACAACGCTCAGCTGAAAGTTACATCTTACTTTATCTATTTACTTCCTGCTACATTTTCAGCCTTAACAGGTCGACTCTGAGTTTGTAACCTAGCACGAAATTTCTGCTTAATGTTACTGTCCACTCCCTGCTGTGCAGAGATCATTATATCAGCAAGAATAAAAGAAAAATACTTAACAGAAACTTTGGAATAACATAAATTGAAACTCTGATGCTGGATTTAACACAGCTGTGCTACTGTTGAATGAAAGTCTAATAAATATGATACAGTAGCTTACCTGATATGGACAGAGTCAGGTTATTACTCTGTTTTGTAAAATCGTTTAAGCCATTGCGGCGACCAATACATTGATAATTCCCACTCAGCTCTACTGTCAGGTAAAGTGAGTAGGAGCTACTTTTAGTTAAGCTGATCATTTCTTGATCATTCCAGTTGAATTTGTAAAGCCAGTCAGTGGCATTTCCCTCTCTCATGTCACAGATGAAGGTTACAGACTCTCCAGCAAATAAATGGGACACGTTTGGTTTAAGGCTCAGCTCAGCATCTAAAATCCAACAAGAACATAAACACACAGAAAAAGTTCAGACCAGATTTTGTCTTAATGCAGAGGAAGATTTCTCACTTTACAAGCAATTATTAATGTATTTTTAATATAATTTGCAAAAATGAAGAAAAAACAAGAATGTTATTCACACATCAATCCATAGAAAAATAAAAAAGGAAGAAAGCTGTTCATTTACCTTGAGTGTCTCCACAGCAGAGGGTAATATTCAGCACTGTAACATATCATTCAATCATCAGTGGTCACATGTCGCAAATAAAAGCCTTTTTAATGAATAGAATTTTACCAGTAGTATCAATAGTTGGACAAACATTTAGCACTCAATATAGTTCAGTCTTTATCGGTCAAATAAAGGAAGTTACTTATACTCACAGAATAAGGACAGCACGCTGAGCACAGTGAGCCCCATCCTCACAATGAGCCTGAAAGTCTGTCACTGACAACAGAAACACTGAAACAGAAGTGAGAAACAGAGAATGTGAGAAAATAGTAATGTTTCACCTGATTATGGGAGTAGAGGCTTTCTGCTACCTCGTTTTATGTGTTCAGCCTTTCACTGCTACTTCTCTTTTAGCCCTACATGAGGACACTGATGACATATCTTATTTTTAACTGTTGACACTTCCTGTTTTACTGTGGACAGTATGCAGAGCTGACATGATATATGATCCCTGCTTCTGAAACTAAATTGTAACTGCTCAGATAATAATGTTTGGGAAAGTGATTTGTCGTAGGATTTTAAGATCACCAGAATGTCACCAACGGTTTAATTTAAAAACAAATTCAAAGAAAAAAAATGGAACAACTTATCATTGTTATGTCTTAGACTACTTAAAATCTGGGGTTCAAACAGGAGGTAGCAAATAAATTCAAGCCTGAATGTAGATTTTCTCAGGGGCAGATTGTTAGAACAACAATGCTTTAAAAAAAAAAAAAAAACAGAAAAAAGAAGGAGCCTCAGCTAATGCTTTATGTAGTGGCTTCCTGATGAGGTGATGTGGGTGGCTGATTGCTGCAGCTGCATTCAGCCAGAGGCAGGAACCTGTAGTGGGTCCCACCCACAGACAGACACACATGCACAGAAGAGAGAGAGAGATAGGGAGAAAAACTAAACTTGGAAGTTTAGGAGGACTAGGGGACCATGACACTGACGGTTAGCATGTGGTTGATGAGCCCAACTTCTTTTTCACACCTTGCAATGTGCTGCTAGATCAGGGCTTTGACATCATCTCAGACATTGAGCTTTATACATATGCAAACAAACTTCTTTATATATTTATAATGCATTCAGGAAAGATGTGCAATTAAAAATGCTATACAGTTAAAGATCAACAGGGTTTATAAAAGTATTACAGCATCTGACACTCCTGTGGTTTTGAATAAAAAGTCCGCTGTTGTGTTTTTTTATATATATAAATGAGGAAGTGTAGAGTGAAATGTTAGAAAATAGTTGCTTCATGCAAGAAAGAGGAATAAAGGTCTTTGCATTAAAAAACTACAACTAAGATACTGAAATATATGAGTTGTTTCACCTACTAGGAAATCAGAATGACAAATGGAACAACATAGTCATCCATTGCGTGGCAGGTTTGTCAGAGAAACTCATCCCACAACCAGAATTCTCAAACAAAAATACCACATTTTATGTTCAAAATTAAATGTCATGCACAGTAGCAGACGCATACAGGTTAGAAAAGTACAGCTGTAACATATGCAGTTTTAACTCTTAAGGACAAAAATACTACGTGGCACAGATAAATATTTGTTGCTCAAACATCAAAACTTGACACTTGACGTAACAAGACTTAAGCAAGATGAGTGAAAAAGAGGAACAAAATATAACTAACGATGACCAGGAAGAGAACCCAGATAACTAAAACTAAGTGCAGAGAATATAAATTCAATTAAACTAACTAGTAATAAAATCTTTAAGTTAGCAAATACAAAACTCAAAATGCAACATCAAAAGAATACAATATACCAAAGTCACCCAAGCCTGGGGTTGTACCTCAGTATCTAGTGATTTATTTGTGTGTGACTACTCCTCACATATATGTTTCTAGTATGTTTGTATTTTAAAATGTTGTTATATTTGAAGCTGAAAGTTATTAACAATTATTTGTTAGCTCCCACTGACAATTTACCCAAAACCATGTGCTTTGATGATAGCACTTTACTGAGGTCGCAAGATTGTTAATCGGAGGTTTTTCCCCCTTCAAAAACACACTTGGAGCAAAGCTATAACTAGGCTGAATAGACACTTGGTGTACTGTATAATGCTTTCAGGTTAACCCTAGTTGTACGACAATATTAGATTGGTGGCGATGTCATGGATCGGCAGAATGATAGACCCACTCACAGACGGGTTTGTTCACGTGTGAATAGAAACAGACAAAGCAGCTGGTGAATCTCTAATGCAGGGGTGACTAACTTCAGTCCTCGAGGGCCGCTGTCCTGAAACTTATAAATGTGTCCCTGCTGCAACACACCTGAATAAAATTAGTAGGTCATTAGCAAGAAATTATTGAACTCGACTGCATGCTGAGGTTACAACCCCTAACCCCAGGGTGTCGAACTCCAGGCCTCGAGGGCCAGTGTCCTGCAGGTTTTAGATATCGCCCTGGGTCAACACACCTGAATCAAATGATTAGTTCATCACTAGGCCTCTGGAGAACTTCAGGACATGTTGAGGAGGTAATTTAGCCACTTGAATCAGCTGTGTTGCAGGACACCGACCCTCGAGGCCTGGGGTTTGACACCTGTGCCCTAACCCTACTTATGACTAGTTGTTTGACATTTCTAAATTTGATTACCCTGAGCTTTGCTTTCTCACTTTATCTTGACTTTCTGTCTTTGTTGGAGTCTTGCTGGATTACATTTATTGTAATTGTAAAATTACAATAAATGTAATTTTACAATTACATTTATTGTAAAATTACATTTTACAATAAATGTAATTGTTTGGAATAATTTACTTCTTAAAGCAATTTTATTGCACCACATTCATTCACTCATGAGCTGCTGTGATATGAATCAAATGGCTGAATTGCCACCTCAGCATTCTTTCAAGTTCTAGTCTCTTGCTAATGACCTATTAATTTTATTCAGGTGTGTTGCAGCAGGGACACATGGAAATGTTTCAGGACAGCGGCCCTCGAGGACTGGAGTTTGACATCCGTGCATTAGATATTTGGGAATGGCGGTGAAAGTATTGAGGCTTTCCAAGGAAAGCACTGTTGTTTGAAACTCAGGGGGCTTGATACACACAGAGAGACTGATTATTCCACTGAAAGACAAACAGAAACTCATATAAGAAAGAAGCAGAGCACATATCTCACTGACACAATAATATGGCAACAGCTGAGTATCTGCTTCCGTCGTAATACTGAGCTTGATTAGAAATGGTGAAGCAGGTGAATCTGATCAGCTGATCCTCTACAGGAGAGCAGCCAATGGGGCAGCAGAGAAAATGAGTGGAGCTCATGTCCACACATGTCCACAAGCACACATACAAACACCAACAGGAGAGAGAGAAAGAGACAAAAGGCAGGCCATCACGAGAGAAACTCGGGGACCACGTCAGGAAACTGTTGGGTGTATCTGGCACAACCTTGTTACCATGGAACTACATGGAAGACCAGGTATTCATGTCAGAGAACAGCAGCATTTAACTTGACAGTGGCACTGCTGCACTAGAGTCTGGATTGGCTCTATCTATACCTGTGTGGGTTCTCTCAGAGTACGTCTGCTTCGTCCAAACATATGCATGTGAGGTCAATCAGTGATTTGAAATTCCCTGGAGCTGTGAGTGATTTTCTCTTTCCTACTCTGTTGACCCTCTGATAGACTGGTGACCTCTCCAGGTTACACCCTGCCTTGAGAGGTTCAAGCCCCTCTGTGACCGAAGAATATGGAAATTTTAATCTACAGCAAATGGATGGATGAGTAGATGACTCACACTGGGCATGTTGTAGTTGCACAAAAAGAACAGGATATTCCTGAGAAGACCAGTAAGAAATGATAAAGTAATCAAAGGGCTTTTACACTATGAAAGTTATTGAAAACAAAAGTCTACGGGTCTACTTCACTTACGGAGTGCAATAACTTATTGGGTGTTCTTTCTAAGCTGAGACAGTCAAAACTTCATTAGAATATTATTATAATTTTAAATTGATGTACTGTTAATATTAGTGTTTTTATCTATTACCTTTGAATCATCATATCTGCTGTCTAAACACTTTCACAATCCTGCTCCTTTTTTAAAGCCAAGAATGAGACAATCTTTCTATTTTTATAAAATAACTAGATGATGTATTTGTTGTAAAACTGAACAAATAAACAAACAAATAAATACTGTATCACTGAGTGTGTTTGATGAACAAGTACCCTCATCAACAGCCAAGGCATCAGCAGTTGCAAGACAGTAATCTGTGTATTTGTTGGTACCTCTGAAGATCAATATCTAGGCTCCTATTTTTAACAGTAGAGTAAATCCTGTAGTCACACTGTACATATAATTATTATTTCTGTCTTTATCTTCCCATGTACAGCTGTTCATGAACATTCCCCACTCTGAGCCATGTGTGATCTGATAGCACTTAACTTACTTTAGTGTTTAGAACACAAACGTTCAAGTCAATTTGAATCAATTTTGTTTATTTAACAACAACTCACAATAATAGCTGCCTCAAAATGCTTTATTTTATAAGATAATCACCTTAAAATAAAAAGTCTGCTTTAAACAAGCACCTGGTAACAGCTGGGAGGAAGAACTAAATCTTACACTGACAGAAACTAAAATATGTGGATGATATCAGCCATGTGTGAATTAGATCTATCTGGAGCAATGAAGTGCAGAAACAAGAAAACAAGAAAAATTGTTTTTCAACAAACAAGACTGTAGATGTAACAATATTTGAGATTAAATATCTTATAGGAAACACATATTCATATAACACAATTGCAGCTCTCCAAGCAGCTTCCATAAAATAAAATTTAAAGTTGATCTTTTCCTAAAGCTGTTAAAAGAAGAAAAGCAACTTTATAGAAAAATGTCAAGTGATGCTTAATTCATGCAGGGGAAGAGAAACATGTATGCTTATCATACACATCAAATGATTTTAGAAACAACACAGGAAACATCTGTAAACATGCACTGCTCAAAAAAAAATTAAAGTAATTATTTTTAATCAGTGTTTAGCATCACATCACTCAAATGTCTATCCTCGATGAAGTAGCAGAAAATGTAGTTAACACTAGGTACAGCAGGGTGAGACGATCCCTGGATGCTACAGAGGTTGTACGGGATGTCCAACTCCTCTAGGATGCCAATTCAGTGCATGCTCAAGAGTCTGTCACCCACTGTCAGACCCTATTGTGCTGTGGGTCTTGGGTTCCTCCTGGTATGATAATGACCACCCTCATGTGTTGAGAGTATGCAGGCAGTTCCTGGAGGATTAAGGAATTGATACCACTGACTGGTCCCCACACTCGCCTGACCAAAATCCAACTGGGACATTATGCTTCTCTCCATCTGAAGCTGCCATGCTGCAGCTCAGACTCTCCAGGAGCTCAGATGCCCTGGTCCAGATCTTGGAGGAGATCCCCAGGACACCATTGACTCATTATTCATATGCTCCAAGATTGTCAGGCATGCACACAAGCACACGTTGGCCAAACTGACAACTGAGTATCATTCTGAGTTGGTGCAATGAACATTTGACAAAATGGACAAACCTGCTGCATTATTTTGTCACTTTGATGTGTCTTTGCATTTAGCCCTCTGTAGGTTGTTGACTTTCATTTCCAAATGTTGTTTATTTTTATTTTTTTATTTGTTGTTTATTTATTGAGCAATCTAAATGTAAAAAGACTCTAAAAAGCATCCTGGTCTCAAAGCCAGATCATCAGTTGGTGCTATTATGATGAAAGAAAGTTTGTTTGACTTTATTTTATTTTACAAAACAGTGCATAATCTCATTTTCTCCAATGAGCTCTTTACTTCTAATGGAATTAATTCAGTTTTGTCACTGATCCGGTTGGTTTTGCAGATCTTGTTATTAATCTGAAAGAAATGGTGCAGCACAATTCAGTCATTAAAGGTGATTTAGAACTAAATTTACTCCCTAAAAACTTAAAAACTTTAGTATTTAAGTTCATCGTTACAGCAACATGTAAGCTATTTTATTTCTGCACAGTTACCCAGAGCTGTTTGTGATTTAACTTCAGAATAAACTGTTTCATCAGCTGCTGCAGGAGCTGGTTTTCCTGCAAATAAAGAAATGATTTGTCAAATGTCATTGCAAGTGCCTCTTTGTTCAAAGTGACAACTTGATTTATTTATACGGTTTTCCCTGGTGTGTAAAACGTGTAAAACCCAAAACAAAAGAAATAAGGTACTCATTTTATTACATTACTTACCTTTGTGTCTCTTAGGTTTCGCTTTAGTGTAATAGACCCGTGCGTACAACAGGCTGTCATCTAAAAGAGGATGGACAGATGAGCAGCATTAAAAAATGAGTGGCTTTAATTTACTTTATATTTTCTGTCAGTTAACACCTACAGTAACTCATCACAGGAACAGACTGAAGGAGATTTTCGCTCTATTGAAGACGAGATTTTATGACAACCTGTTACTGTTAAATCTCATTTCAGTGTCAGATCACTTCAAGCTTCCTCCACCCTGGTTATTAAAGTTGAACTGACCCTGTGTTACACTGGAAGGACCAAGTGTCCAACCTCTTTGTTTTCTTATCTGTGTGCAGCTGATTTCTAAAACTTCAATGTTTAAACATAAATAATCACAGTCTTCATATGTCAATGCTACTGTATCTACTTTACCATTTTGTGTGTCATCATGGTCTTTGATTGATTCATAAACACAAGCATCACCTACAAAAACAAGCCAATGTTAGGTTAAAAATTGAATTTCTTATGTATGGGTTTGATTATCTTCTAAATCAGCAAACTAGAAACAGATATATTGGACCTGGAGTTTAAAAATCATCAGTAAATAAATTAATAAATACAACAACAACAACAACAAAACTTGTCATGGATCAGGCTGACCTTGGACAGTAGAGTTATCTTGACTGTGTTGAGCTTCATCCTTGATCATGTGGTTCATTACAGAGCTCTGATTTGTGCTCCGAGTCCTGGTGGAACAAAAAAAACAACAAAAAAACCAAACGTAGTAAACTGATAGATTTAATAAGAAACACAGGATGTAGTTCTAGTACAGGAGAGGGGAGATTTGAACCAACCTGACAAAGAATGAATCTGTAAGAAAAGACAATTACATTTTTTATTGTAACCTGTTGTGGTGCAGAAATATTACATTGAGCGTTCAGGATACATCTGTGATTTTTATTATTTACATCATATTCAGTTTAATATCAGATGGTTAATGGTCTCACCCTTTGACTGTTTGAAGCGACACAAAAGCAGAAGAAGAAGAAGAATCAGTAAAACTCCACAAACGAGTCCAACGATCAAAGGAGTGAGAAATGAAGAGCTTTCAGGTGCTGCTGTAATAATACCAGGCTTTAATTAGATGCATTTAAACAGATTATTAACATAATTCACATGGGAACTTTTTAAAATATAGTATTATTTACAATATCACTATTCCTAATAATAACTGAAAATATTCTATTTGTTTTACTATCATATTTCTCTGTGGTGATTATTTACCTGAATAGTGATTAAAAGAAAAAACTTTTGAATTTCACATCACCTGTTTATCATTCCTTTATGAACAAAGGTCTTTAAACCAACAGCATATTTTGATTCATGCAAGTGGTGATAAATTCTGTGAATAGTTTTCTAATTCAAATACATAATGTCAGCTTTACAGAGACAAAAGTATATATCGCTATTTTATCAATTTGTATTTATACTTTAAAGCTCTGTGCTAATATGTTTAAGCTCAGAAGAACATTTACGTTTGTTTGCAGACACTGTGAATTTTTCAGTAATGATAATTATTATTATAATTATACAGTAGATGATGAGTGAGCATAGAAGTAGATTCACATCGTCATCTATTCTAAGTATTGTATAAAAACATAATGAATACTGACAAACGGAAGTATTCACTCTAATCTGTTGAACCCTGGTGTGCACTCTCCCCTCACAGTTGTATTCTGCATCATCGGGTTTTAAAAGCATATTTAACTTCCTGAATTCATTTTTGTTGGAAGTTTGGTCGTTTTCCATTCATACATCCACTAAAGGTGTAAGTGTCAGATCATTAACTTTTCACATTTTGTGTTTCTAGAAGAAGAAAAAAAACTCACCCCTGCGATCAATCCTAACTGACTCACTGTACTCTGTGTAGTAAACTGGGTTTCCTCTTCCTCCTCTGCACCTGTAGAGTCCTTCCTGTGAGACACTGATTTGTCCATTTGAGTGGAAAACTGCATCTTGTGTGGTCAGAGGTTCAGACGAGTTCTCATCTCTGTACCAGTAGTATTTCCATCCAGATGATGATGATGGGTTCACAGAGCAGGTCAGGGACACACTGCCCCCTACTGGAATGTCTCTCATATCAGAAGTTATTTGGGCCTTTAATTGATCTGCTGTTGAGTTTAAACAAAGACACAAAGAAAATATGAATATATACCCCACATGAGGGATCACACGGCCCTGATGTTGTCTCCATTAATGTTACCTCTTGTAAACCTGCTCTCCAGTTTCCAACAACACATAGGAAGGAATAAGACTAAACTGAAATGGTATGAGTAATCTTACAGATGCCTATAATGCATTTTAGTATTTTAGTGTTTATATATTTTTTCTGTTTCATTATGATTCTTCTTTGGATTTATAAAATAATACTTGTGCTTATTCTGTGTGATTCCTTCTTATTACCACAACAGAAGACACAGAACTTCTTACTAATGGAATTTTATAAGTCCCACATCCCACACAGCTGCACAGACAAATTTAATATAGAAACATTTTATTTATGAGATTTTTTTCTAATTTCAGACTTTCATAAAACATTTTCATTTGATTAGATTATTTTTTCATGGTAAGTTTGCTTTGATTGGGGAATAGTCTTCTTCCTACATGATCAGAAGAAACATACCGACATATCTCTGTCTCTATAAACCTCCTGTTGAACACATACACACTAATATCAAAAACTTCCACATCACTGTTTGTTCCATTAATAAAACGAAATGCATTCATTTATCCACCACTGCTCATGCAAAGTTCTTAAATAAAGTGTTTGAAAGCATCAATTTCATGACAAAAAAAGAAAGAAGAACATTTTTCACACAGTTCACCTCAGTTGGCAAAACAAACCAGTCTCTAAAATTGTTGATTGATGCAACCAAATCACTCTCTCTCTAGGGTGCCTCACCCCACAGTAATGAAACTGAACAAGGAAAATATTCCATTACTTCTTGTAATCACAAAGAAAACTAGTAATTAAAGAAAAAACATTAATCTTAGTATCTCTAAATGTTGGCTAATTTAATATCACTAATATGCTACATCTTCAGCCCACACATTTAGTCCAATTTGTATTTCCACAGCCATCACCTCAGTGTTTGTTTGTAATAATA